AGCAAAAAGCAACATTGGCCAGAGTGGTAAGAACATACTGCATTTGTTGCTATTTTGATTGCCTGTTGTTTTTGTTCTAAGTTGATCAAAACATTTAGGGTATTTCTTTAACATCCTGACTCTCTGTGTTAATAGGAGGATGCCTGGATCCCAATGTTAGGAACAACTTCCTTGTTTGTCAGGAGGAGGGTGGGGAGCAGGGAGGGGAATTAACTGCTGACAAGCAGAGAAGAAAAGGTAAGATTCATGTGATGAAATCTATCTTGTGTGGATTTCTTGGGCTATTGTTCAGTTGATATGAAGTCTTAAAATTCATTTGACATCTTGAATTTTGTTTTATTTCAGCAGTAGGCGGTTTGGATGATCTGCAGCCCCTGGTGTGGACGAATCTTGCCTCCCAATCAACTGCAGTCATCCTTGGAAGATGCGGTAAGATTTGAGATCTGCTCGCTGCAAACTTTCCCCACCTTTTACTTGTCAATTGATGTTGACCTGGTTTGGCCTTGACCTCTTGACTTCCTCTGACAGGATGCAGAAGGGAAGGACCCATCCCAAGGAGCAGAAGAGGACCCAGTTCATCAGCCAGAGAGCCTGATAGAGAAGCTTTTTTCATTTATCCCTCTGTCCTCCTTACTCTAACATGACTAACCATCTCCCTTCCCCTTCTCTACTCTCAACTCTCTTATGCCCTTTCCCAAAGTAACAGTGCCCTTTTGCTAACTTATTTTTCAAATAATTTTGTAATTTTTGTTTATAATTTTGTGAATTTTTGCAATTGATTTGTGAATTTCTACTTCATTTCTGTAATTGTCTTGATTTTTTACTAATCTTTTGTCAGTTGTATATTTTCAGGGGTTCAGATGAGGGACGACGACAGAAGAGGACTTTGGCCGGCCAAACGAAGAAGAGGACTGCATTGCCCAGCTATGAGCAAAAAGCAACATTGGCCAGAGTGGTAAGAACATACTGCATTTGTTGCTATTTTGATTGCCTGTTGTTTTTGTTCTAAGTTGATCAAAACATTTAGGGTATTTCTTTAACATCCTGACTCTCTGTGTTAATAGGAGGATGCCTGGATCCCAATGTTAGGAACAACTTCCTTGTTTGTCAGGAGGAGGGTGGGGAGCAGGGAGGGGAATTAACTGCTGACAAGCAGAGAAGAAAAGGTAAGATTCATGTGATGAAATCTATCTTGTGTGGATTTCCTGGGCTATTGTTCAGTTGATATGAAGTCTTAAAATTCATTTGACATCTTGAATTTTGTTTTATTTCAGCAGTAGGCGGTTTGGATGATCTGCAGCCCCTGGTGTGGACGAATCTTGCCTCCCAATCAACTGCAGTCATCCTTGGAAGATGCGGTAAGATTTGAGATCTGCTCGCTGCAAACTTTCCCCACCTTTTACTTGTCAATTGATGTTGACCTGGTTTGGCCTTGACCTCTTGACTTCCTCTGACAGGATGCAGAAGGGAAGGACCCATCCCAAGGAGCAGAAGAGGACCCAGTTCATCAGCCAGAGAGCCTGATAGAGAAGCTTTTTTCATTTATCCCTCTGTCCTCCTTACTCTAACATGACTAACCATCTCCCTTCCCCTTCTCTACTCTCAACTCTCTTATGCCCTTTCCCAAAGTAACAGTGCCCTTTTGCTAACTTATTTTTCAAATAATTTTGTAATTTTTGTTTATAATTTTGTGAATTTTTGCAATTGATTTGTGAATTTCTACTTCATTTCTGTAATTGTCTTGATTTTTTACTAATCTTTTGTCAGTTGTATATTTTCAGGGGTTCAGATGAGGGACGACGACAGAAGAGGACTTTGGCCGGCCAAAAGAAGAAGAGGACTGCATTGCCCAGCTATGAGCAAAAAGCAACATTGGCCAGAGTGGTAAGAACATACTGCATTTGTTGCTATTTTGATTGCCTGTTGTTTTTGTTCTAAGTTGATCAAAACATTTAGGGTATTTCTTTAACATCCTGACTCTCTGTGTTAATAGGAGGATGCCTGGATCCCAATGTTAGGAACAACTTCCTTGTTTGTCAGGAGGAGGGTGGGGAGCAGGGAGGGGAATTAACTGCTGACAAGCAGAGAAGAAAAGGTAAGATTCATGTGATGAAATCTATCTTGTGTGGATTTCTTGGGCTATTGTTCAGTTGATATGAAGTCTTAAAATTCATTTGACATCTTGAATTTTGTTTTATTTCAGCAGTAGGCGGTTTGGATGATCTGCAGCCCCTGGTGTGGACGAATCTTGCCTCCCAATCAACTGCAGTCATCCTTGGAAGATGCGGTAAGATTTGAGATCTGCTCGCTGCAAACTTTCCCCACCTTTTACTTGTCAATTGATGTTGACCTGGTTTGGCCTTGACCTCTTGACTTCCTCTGACAGGATGCAGAAGAGAAGGACCCATCCCAAGGAGCAGAAGAGGACCCAGTTCATCAGCCAGAGAGCCTGATAGAGAAGCTTTTTTCATTTATCCCTCTGTCCTCCTTACTCTAACATGACTAACCATCTCCCTTCCCCTTCTCTACTCTCAACTCTCTTATGCCCTTTCCCAAAGTAACAGTGCCCTTTTGCTAACTTATTTTTCAAATAATTTTGTAATTTTTGTTTATAATTTTGTGAATTTTTGCAATTGATTTGTGAATTTCTACTTCATTTCTGTAATTGTCTTGATTTTTTACTAATCTTTTGTCAGTTGTATATTTTCAGGGGTTCAGATGAGGGACGACGACAGAAGAGGACTTTGGCCGGCCAAACGAAGAAGAGGACTGCATTGCCCAGCTATGAGCAAAAAGCAACATTGGCCAGAGTGGTAAGAACATACTGCATTTGTTGCTATTTTGATTGCCTGTTGTTTTTGTTCTAAGTTGATCAAAACATTTAGGGTATTTCTTTAACATCCTGACTCTCTGTGTTAATAGGAGGATGCCTGGATCCCAATGTTAGGAACAACTTCCTTGTTTGTCAGGAGGAGGGTGGGGAGCAGGGAGGGGAATTAACTGCTGACAAGCAGAGAAGAAAAGGTAAGATTCATGTGATGAAATCTATCTTGTGTGGATTTCTTGGGCTATTGTTCAGTTGATATGAAGTCTTAAAATTCATTTGACATCTTGAATTTTGTTTTATTTCAGCAGTAGGCGGTTTGGATGATCTGCAGCCCCTGGTGTGGACGAATCTTGCCTCCCAATCAACTGCAGTCATCCTTGGAAGATGCGGTAAGATTTGAGATCTGCTCGCTGCAAACTTTCCCCACCTTTTACTTGTCAATTGATGTTGACCTGGTTTGGCCTTGACCTCTTGACTTCCTCTGACAGGATGCAGAAGAGAAGGACCCATCCCAAGGAGCAGAAGAGGACCCAGTTCATCAGCCAGAGAGCCTGATAGAGAAGCTTTTTTCATTTATCCCTCTGTCCTCCTTACTCTAACATGACTAACCATCTCCTTTCCCCTTCTCTACTCTCAACTCTCTTATGCCCTTTCCCAAAGTAACAGTGCCCTTTTGCTAACTTATTTTTCAAATAATTTTGTAATTTTTGTTTATAATTTTGTGAATTTTTGCAATTGATTTGTGAATTTCTACTTCATTTCTGTAATTGTCTTGATTTTTTACTAATCTTTTGTCAGTTGTATACTTTCAGGGGTTCAGATGAGGGACGACGACAGAAGAGGACTTTGGCCGGCCAAAAGAAGAAGAGGACTGCATTGCCCAGCTATGAGCAAAAAGCAACATTGGCCAGAGTGGTAAGAACATACTGCATTTGTTGCTATTTTGATTGCCTGTTGTTTTTGTTCTAAGTTGATCAAAACATTTAGGGTATTTCTTTAACATCCTGACTCTCTGTGTTAATAGGAGGATGCCTGGATCCCTTGACCTCTTGATTTCCACTGACAGGATGCAGAAGAGAAGGATCAATCCCAAGGAGTAGAAGAGAAGGACCTAAGCCAAGTGGCGAAGAGAAGGGCCCATCCTAAGGAGCAAAGGTGAAGGACCCAACCCGAGGAGCAGAGGAGAAGGACCCATCCTACGGAACAGAAGAGGTGGACCAATTCCCATGAGCAGCAGAGAAGGACCCATCTTAAGGATTAGAAGAGAAGAAACCATCCTAAGGACCAGAAGAGAATGACTCATCCCAAGGAGAAGAAGAGAGGACCCCTCAAAGAGCAGACTAGAAGGACCCATCCAGAGAAACAGAAGAGAAGCACCCATCCCAAGGAGCAGAAGAGGACCCAGTTCATTAGCTGCGGGTGGGTAAGAAGTAGGGAATATAATTTGGCAAATAACAGACTAGAGGGTTAGATTCATATCAGAACAGTTGTATTTTCATAGGAAATTAAAAAGGGGGGCTGGGTTTGCTTTTGAGACAAAATTGTAAATCGTATTGAGCTATAAAGGAAATTGTTTATTATAGTATTCCTTTGACCCTTTGTTTGCAGTATTAATGAATCATTTGACCCTTGGTTTATTTTCTTTGCTAGCAGAAGCAACCTTGGCCGACCTAGATTCCTTATTGAGAAGAAGTATGTCTTGAACTCAACTGCAGGAATCATTGGAAGATGCAGAAGATTTAGGCTGGGATATTGGTCATAGAGGTACTAAGTCCAGTCAACAGAAGATGGAGAGTCCATTGCCCAGCTATGACCAGCAGAAAATATTGGCCAATGTGGTTAGTAACAATTTGCTCTTTTGAATCCCTCGCTTTAATTGTAATTTGATCAATGCAGCAAGTAATAGTATTACTCCGTTCTTACTTTTTGTGTTAGCAGGAGAATGGTTTAGCAAGCTTCAATCCCAGTGTAAGATACGACTCCATTATTTGTCAGCAGGAGCTTTAAGATAAGGGATCGATTGTTGCAAACCATGGACAAAAGGGTAAGATTCATGTCATAATGCCAGTACTCTCTAGATTTTTTGTGGGCTCATCCATACTATATTGAGATTGTTTCTCTACTTTTATTGAGCAGTTTAAGATAAACCTCTATCCAGAATCTTTAAGAGAAGAATCTCACCTGAAAGCAAGAGTGCTGAGCGTTTTGGGATAGACTGCTGTAAACCCTAGGATGATGGTAAGATGCGATGTGCCAATCCAGTATTCTGTTGATTTTCATCATTTTTTCCACTTTACAAGCGTAAGGAATTCTTTTACTATTTGATATTTTTTATTAATTGGTCAGGGTTAGATCTAGTGTAGTGCTAGTGTAGATCCCGAGACAAGCTGGTGACTTTCATCTGACAGAAAGTGTGCAAAATGTTTGAGGGAACAAAAGCAGCCAACTCAAGAATTGATGGTAAAATATTTTATATTTAGATGTGCTTCTGGCTCTCTGAAGACTTATAGCTCTCCAAGTGTCAAGAACATCCTTTTTCCTTTGACCTATAGATGTTCTTTGTTCATACATACAGGGTTGGGCTGGTTTTCATTCTCAAAAGAAGAGCATACAGTAACCTACCAGAAAAAAGTTCAAGGATTGGCTGTGACCAATTCAAGACATGATGTAAGACACAACGGCACATCTTGGACTGTCTGACTTTTGTTTTAGCTCACCTAAGCCAAGTTTTTATGATCAAAATTTGTTGTTGTCAGCGTTGTCATCATTCTTTTCTTTGTAAACTTTTTACAATTTCATCTTTTCTCGAGAACGTATAGAAATTTCATGGAAATCTCTCCCCGAAATATTAGGCTCCAAATTGTCAAATTACTACAAAAATGCCCTCAAGTATAGTTTAAATTGAAATTTGTGTAAATATTTGCCCTTTAAATCTTGATGAAGCTGACTCCAGTTTTGTGAAAAAAGTAGTTTAGAAAAATAGAACAAACTTTGGCTCAGAAAAAAAATTTCAATGACATCCATGTGATTGTAAAAGCCTTTGGACCTCTAAATTTGGCATTGTTTTCTCAAATGCATTGGTTGATTTTATATTGTTGAAACACAGTGCCTTACTTGTTTTTATTTTCATAGGTACTGAAGTCTATAAAATATAACTTTTTTTTACTTTTCATTTGTTAAACCGACATTTTTTTATTTGATAGAACACATCCTATGAATCGTCTGAGCTGTCTTGATATCTGTGGAAGAAAGAAAGTTGCGCAACACATCAAAATAAATTCAAGTTATGGATCATTAGAAATGAAAGGAGAGACATTTGTTGTTGAAGGAGATATAGAACTCTATTCTGAACAAGTGTGAAGGATTAGTGACCTTGTATTATGGATCTGTGACCTTATGTGAAGGATCTGTTATCTACATGTAGTGTGAAAATAAGTGACCTTGTATGAAAGTTCTGTGACCTTGTGTGAAGGACTTTGACCTTTTGTGAAGATATCTGTGACCTTATGAAAAGGTTATGTTGCCTTGTATTAAGGATCTGTAACCTTGTGTGAAGGATCTGTGACCTTTTGTGAAAGATCTGTGACCTTATGTGAAAATTTGTGATCAAGTGTGAAGGATCTGTGACTTATGTGAAGGATCTGTGACCTTGCATGAAGGATCTGTGACCTTATGTGAAGGATCTGTGACCTTGTGTAAAGGACCTGTGATCTTATGTGAAGGATTTTTGACCTTGAAGGATCTGTGACCTTATGTGAAGGATCTGTGACCTTTTGAGAAGGATCTGTGCATTTTCCAGCCTTTTTTCTTTCCTTTCTTTTGTTGATGTTTTGAACCAAAAAACTTATGTACTATCATCACCCCCAGCAGTAATTTCCTTGTTACATCAGTGTAGTATTGACCAGTTTATAAATCCATCAAATGAATGTATGTCTTGCATTCACCCTTAGACTTGCATTAATTTTTTGCCTTGGACACATGTGTGAATTTTTATCCCTGTTCTCCCTGGGAAGTTTTTAATGTCAGTGATTATACTCTAACCTTTGATGTTTAATACTGATTGGAAAGTTTAGGATGAGTGCAGTATAACAATTTTTTGTGTTACGTAGTATTAGGAAAAATTAATTGCCCAAACAACATGTAAACAATGTTACGGAATTCTCTTGTTACTAAGTTTTAGTTATTTAGGCTACAGCAAAAAATATTTCAGAATATATCGCATGGGCAAACATTCGATTATTAAAGGGGTACTATCAAATGGTCACTTTCTAGTGATCACTATCCTGAGAAAGTCCAGTTTTTTATCAATATAAATTTATGTCTATATTGCAAAATCCATAATTCTTGAAAATATTGTCTCATAAATAAATAGAGTGAGGTTCCGCCACTCAAATTTTTGCTTACTCTGCATTTTGCCGCGGTTCACAGGTTTCCATCATTTTTTCAAATTTTGAAATATTTTGTTTTTAATATATGGTTTTTCCTGGGCGGCAGAGGAGGCTTATTTTATTTTTGGATGCATTTTAGTGTGCATTTTGTTATGAATATGCAATATTGTATGAAAACTGCTTTGTTTGCATGTTATTTTCTTTGAAAAATAAACCTGGCCTAAACCTGGATGGTGCTCTGTAATGCAATTTAAGGGTTTTTAATAACCGTTTATATAGGCATCAAGTGTAGTGAAGAGACTGGTCATCTTAATTCATTATATGTGTGTTTTATGTCTATTTGTCTTGACATTTCAATTCATATACAATGTATGATGTACTACTTATAATAAGTGACATCTGCTTCCTAAAATCTTTTCAGAGTTATATGTATAACAGTAGCCATTATTTTCAAATATTCTTTTCAAAGTACATGTACATGTAATAACTTGTAAATTCAATATTCATGTTAATCTTCACAAATTATGAAAACAAATAAACAACATTGAATAACATGTAAATCTGAGTACTTTTTTAGCTCACCTGAGCTGAAAGCTCAAGTGAGCTTTTCTGATCACCCGTTGTCCGTCGTCCGTCCGTCTGTCCGTCTGTCCGTCCGTCCGTCCGTCTGTCCGTCCGTCTGTAAACTTTTCACATTTTCAACTTCTTCTCAAGAACCACTGGGCCAATTTTAACCAAACTTGGTACAAAGTATCCTTGGGTGAAGGGGAGTGTAAATTGTTAAAATAAAGGGCCAAGTCCCCTTACAAGGGGAGATAATCAAGAAAAGACAAAAATAGGGTGGGTTCATTAAAAAATCTTCTTCTCAAGAACCACTGGGCCAGAAAAGCTGAAACTTATGTGGAAGCATCCTGGGATAGTGTAGATTCTAAATTGTTAAAATCATGACCCCCGGGGGTAGGGCGGGGCCACAATAGGGAATCCAAGTTTTACATTGAAATACATAAGAAAAATCTTTAAAAATCTTCTTCTCAAGAACCACAAGGGCAGAAAAGCTTAAACTTATATGGAAGCATCCTGGGGTAGTGTAGATTCTAAATTGTTCAAATCATGACCCCCGGGGGTAGGGCGGGGCCACAATAGGGAATCCAAGTTTTACATTGAAATATATAGGAAAAATCTTAAAAAATCTTCTTCTCAAGAACCACTGGGCCAGAAATACTGAAACTTATATGGAAGCATGCTGGGGTAGTGTAGAATCTAAATTGTTCAAATCATGACCCCCGGGGGTAGGGCGGGGCCACAATAGGGAATCCAAGTTTTACATTGAAATATATAGGAAAAATCTTAAAAAATCTTCTTCTCAAAAACCACTGGGCCAGAAAAGCTGAAACTTATTTGGAAGCATCCTGGGGTAGTGTAGATTATAAACTATTCAAATCATGACCGCCCGGGGTAGGGCAGGGCCACAGTAGGGAATCCAAGTTTTACATTGAAATACATAAGAAAAATCTTTACAAATCTTCTTCTCAAGAACCACTGGGCCAGAAAAGCTGAAACTTATGTGGAAGCATCCTGGGTTAGTGTAGATTCTAAATTGTTTAAATCATGACCCCCGGGGGTAGGGCGGGGCCACAATAGGGAATCCAAGTTTTACATTGAAATACATAAGAAAAATCTTTAAAAATCTTCTTCTCAAGAACCACTGGGCCAGAAAAGCTGAAACTTATATTGAAGCATCCTGTAGATTATAAATTGTTCAAATCTTGACCCCTGGGGGTAGGGCGGGACACAATAGGGAATCCAAGTTTTACATTGAAATATATAAGAAAAATATTTAAAAATCTTCTTTTCAAGAACCACTCGACCAATAAAGCTGAGACATATTTAGAAGCATCCTGAGGTAGTGTAGATTCTAAATTGTTCAAATTTTGACCCCCGGGGGTTGGGCGGGGCCACAATAGGTATATTAAAAAGGGGGAAATCTGGTAAAGAACAGCATGGCCAAAGTTACTCAGGTGAGCGATGTGGCCCATGGGCCTCTTGTTTATTGCAGACATCTTAGAGAGTTTTGTAGTGAAATGTTATTGGAACTTTATATACTTATCAAATATAAAATATAACTGCTATAATTCTTCATGTTCATGATGTGATAACAAATAAACAGTAACTAATGTAAATCCAGGGTTTTTTTTTCTCTGTATTGCAGCGATCCAAGAGAGTATTTTGCAATGACTTTGGGAAATATATAGTTATCAAACTTGACACTGACATATACTGTTAATCTTTACTTTGTGCAGTACTGGTAAATGAAATTGAGGTTTTTCCTTCCTTTAATTTCCCCTCCTTCCTATTGTAGCCAATTAATTGAATTAATTAATTAAGATACATATATCTTTTTTTCAAATTAGTCCTTTGAATTTAAGATATTAAATTATTTGATGCATTACACATCAGTTCAATTAGAGATATCTTCAGGAATTCAAGATAATTTTCAATTCTGAATTAATTCACAAATTACTTCATTAATTGTTCATATATAACTTTAATTCATTTGCAGAGTTATCTGCACTCAATGATTGAATTTGTTGCTTTCTTCCAATGAATTAACAAATTCAACAACAGAATTAATAAATTATAATTAATTATTAGGGATGGCAATCGAATACAATATTGCTTATCGGTTAACCGCAAGACGTTCCGACCGATTAACCGGTTAGTCATATCGTATCAAAATACTCATTTTTTTTTACTTTTTTATGTATTTGTATTTATATACACAAGAAGACTGAAAGAGAGACGTGGTTAGAAGTTAGAAACATTCTGCTCATTATCTTGATCAGGAAACTATATGTACATATAAATTATTTTATTTCAATTTCAATAGTTAGACAAGAAAAAAAAATAAGAAAACCATGAATCTTGCATGAGAAATCAGATACAGAAAGATATCTTTCCAGTGCAGATGTCGCAAAAATTCATTCTTCATTGTCACAGTAATCAACACTGTGTCCGAACTTTAACTTATACAATGTTTTTCTAATAATATAATAGAGAACGGCAAAAGATCGATACGTATACATACTCATTAAAAGTGCTCAATGGAGATTATTTAAAATCAAAAGTATTATGGGAGGGTCAGGGTACCAATATAATGTTTTTAAAAACAGTAATTAATACTTCACAAACTGATCAATTATTACCTCGCGATCTCAATCCGGAGAGCCATAATTACCCCCAAATC